TTAAATTGATAATTTGAAGATCATTTGTCTTTTTTATTATATATATATATATCTTTTTAGTAGATCAAATTTTTCTTCTGCTTATTAAATTTGGCAAACTTGAAATATCTCTTAAATAAAGATAAAAAAATTTCCAAACAAAAACATTATCATTTAATTTTTCACTAAATTCTTCTATCCGAAACGTATGCAAATTTACACTGAAATATCCCGCACGCATATTATTTATATTTCTCTTCGCATTCCTGAATCTCCACCGACGATCCTCATCAACTCTTATCCACTTTCACCTCAACCAAACTTCCAACCAACATTCCTCTGGCCAATCTTCCAATTATTCGAAATCCTATGACTTTCTCTCTCAGAACCTGTCTCTAATCGCCAATGGAGGCAAAGATTGGATGGAGAAAATTCGAAGTCGGAGACGGAAGTGAAACGGGGCTGAAAACAGAGGCGGCGTCGGGCAGCGCTAATTATCGATCATTATGCGCGCCGTGGGCGGGTAATTGGAATTTATGTTCTCCACGATAATCCATGGTAGGGTAGGGGAGGGGAAAGGCGAACGAAGGCGGCGAAAGTCCGGACTTAATGCACCATGGGTTTCGTTTAATTGTTATTTACGCGGAGCGATCACGCTACTCCAAGGATCGAAAGGTGGCAAGAGAGAAGGACAAGAGAAGGAGCACAGAGTGAGGCGGATAGACGTGGGGAAGGTTGGGCGGAGAGAGGAAGGAGAATGGGGGTCAACGGACTGATTTACAGTACTAATTCGCGACAATTATCAGGTGGAAGAGATAGTAGCTCGAATCACGCGGATCTGTAAATCTTTCGAATGTCCCGCCGCGTCGAGGTGCGCGCGCATTAACCCTTTGCACCCGCAATATCCGCTTTACCGTCATTGTTCCTTGTCTAATCGAACTCGTTTTAAAAATAAGTATCGATCGAATTTCAGATCTTTTCCAAAATGAAAATTTACATTTAAAATAATCCTTTGTACTGTGTGTATTGTAACTAATACGTTACGTTGTAGAACACGAGAGATAATTTAAAAGCGAGTATTTGCTTCAAATTTGATTTTCGAAATTTTTTAATTTTATACAAAATACTAAAAGATTCTTCTTTCTTGAAAATCTTGTGGATTTGCACTGTTGGCAATTTGTTTCAAAGTGATACAAGGATAGAATAAACTTCAAAAATATTGATTTACAAGTCTCTTTGAGCAGCGTGTAATACTATACACGACGATTACGTACAATATAATAGATTCAACTCTCCATATTTATTATTTATGTATTTATGTATTATGTATATTATAGGTGTTACCGGTAATAAATCTGTAGATAGCGGTATCGTTTATCCCTATCGTATGACCAACGTGTATTATTTACACGCAGTTCAATTCGACTTTTACTTTAAAAGTCTATTTACATTTTTTATGTAATTCCACCAAAGATTAAATACCAAAAGTATATTTCTTCCACGATCAATTCAACGTTACTTTATTGTTATTATTATCCATGAATAATATTTTAATCTCGTTCAAAACGGGAGCAATTTTCCAAGCATCCAAAGAAGAATTAAAATAAAAAACAAAACTCTAAACAAAACAAAATTCAAAAATCGAAACGCGTGACGCAGAATCTTTTCCTCGGTTGAGGAAAATTTAAATTCAAACGCACATCCGAAACGCTCGCTTGAAGAAAATTTAAATTCGAACGCACGAGCATCTCTAACGCACAACGCACCAGAAACCTAACCTAACCTCGTTCGAAAATTTAAATTTCCGACGTTCGAGCATCTTTATTAAGATACCCATCGCAACGATGACGATATTTTCCATTATCGTCGAATAACACGTACGAAAGTGGGAAGAAGCGAAGTAATAATATCGTTTGACGGGGCGTAAGGATCGTCCGTCCACGTTTCTCTTTTTCGTGTGTACCGTGTCGCCATCAGACGGAATGCCGGAAGTTTCGATACCGGCCATTCGCCGGCGTAAAAGCCACGACAACACCGAGCAATCCGCCGGGCAATAAAATCGGCGACAAGCAGTGAATTCGTGACACGACACCCATAAAGGGATTTATGCGCACGTTCGAGAAGAACGGGCGACGAGGTCGTCGACTACACGACCACGAAGGGGAGGAGGAAGAGGAGGACGATGCGAACGATAATGCTGGCTGGCCTTTCGACGATGCTTCGCCTCGCGTGTTTTATCCTGCAATTTTGCGAGAGACATGCGTTGGTAAATAGATACGATAATTGTTAGGGTGATCAGCTACTGATCGTGAAACCAGCGATAGTGATGAAGAGACGAGTGTTAATTCGTGTTATATTCGTAAGACACCTTTGGAGAATCGATTGATTATAGGAGACAAAATAAAGGAAAAGGTTGATACGTGAAAATATTTAATTGTAATTTAAGTTTATGATGACTTTAATGATTTCTTAAATTTATTAATAAACAACTGATATTTGTATTTGTTTCGATCTATACAATTGACACTTTCCAAAAGTGTATTATTATATTGACACTGTTATAGTATGAAAAATATGTGTACATTGATTAATTAAAATGTCGTGCTATTACGTTTATCGAACAATATTTGCAAAAATATTGTGAAGTTTTAGAAAAGAAGAAATATATTGAATAGACAGGAGAAGAATATTTAAGTATTGAGTATATATATTTCGTTCGTGGTCGAAGTTATAGGATTTTAAAGGATGAACGCCTTTGTTTAGTCGATTAACTAGAGTACGAGTCGAATGTGGCTTGCATGGCGAAATACGTTATGACATTTTATGGCTTCTAGGAGTACGGGTAAGGAATATTATTCCTGCGGACGCTGTATGTGGTTCGTGGTTGGAAGAATGTCGAGGTTTTTGTTCGAGTGTGGAATTATATCGTTGGTTACGGTATATGATGTTGAGATTACACGTTCTCAAAGTGTAAAAATTATTTTATCTTTTGTTTCTGTAACATAAATTTATTTTATTGAAACATTAAACATAAATATTATATTCTCAATATATCGTAATAAAAATATTTCAAATTTACAGATGAATTGCATCCTCGCGCAATCAACCCTTTTTATTTCCAAAAAAATATTAAATTCAAATATTTTTATACCAAATATCAAATAGCCCAAATAATATTAATTTCATATTTTCAAAACTTCTATCGTTGCAAATATTCAATTATTAAAAATTATTATTCAATTCTATTCTACTATTCTTCACTATTCTACTATTCAATTATTAAAAATTATACATCGTTATCATAACCTTTCTAAAACTTAATCTTTCAATAATATAATATAAAAATTGATTCAACTTTATCAATTCCTTCTTTATTCCATATCTCATCCACGAAAGAAAGACAGATATAGCTCGGTTTGGCGCAGAGGGTGGAGGAGGATCGTTTCGAAAATGAAAGAATCCCGATGGCTTTTTTCCCGCTTTTGTTCCCGCATCGATTTCGTCGTCGAGCATTCGTGTCTCGGCGACTATTTTACAAAACCACCATTGAAACGGTGGTTCCCCGCACGCTTTATATATATGTATATATATATATACACGTGTATATATGTACACGTACGTGTGTAAGATCCGGTATCGACGGCGACAACAGCGGCCAACAGGAGGAGGGGAAGGGGAAAAAAGGGACCTGATGCAGAGCGCACGAAGGATCAGAAAGGCGAAGATCCAAGAAGGCGAGCACAAAGGACAGACACGATGCAAAGAAATTGCATCGGCCGCTAAATCTCGGACGCCGATGCAACCGCCTAATCAATCTTCAATCCCCGCGATTGATTCTCCCAGCTTTCAACCAGCCGACTACTTGATCTCGACGCCTCTCCTCGACCACCTCCACCGTCATCCAGACATCTCTCCCTCTTCCGCGTCTCCTCTTTCGCGAAGCCGACTAATACTCGTCGATATATAACAGTAAAATGAGCACAAATGTTGGAATAATTTATTTTCTTGGAATAACTTTTTTTATTTCTAATTCTTCTCTAACTTTTTGGCAGGTGAATAAAGGAATAATAATTTTGTAATTATTTAGAATATTGAAGGATTCTTCTTCTTCTTCTTCTTTTTTTTTTTTTTTTTTAATTATTGGTTAATCTTTTTGAAATGACAAGTTTTGAAATTTGAAGTTTCGTTTAGATTTCCATGATTTTAACTGTGTTTCTCATTTTTTCCTCTTCTACGATTTCTTTCACGATATCGTTTATTCTTCTCGTTTAATTATAATGAAATCCCCATAATTGTATAATTCTCGTTTCCACGAATAAGAAAAGTTTCGAAGAAAAATACTTGGAGAAAAAAATGTTTAACATAAAATTCGATATAGATTTATAAATTCACTCATCATCGTAATAATAATTCTTTCGTAAATTCTTCAAAGAAACACAGTGAAGATTCCATCCATTTTACACCGAACGTAACGACATCCCACAATTCACTTATCTAACTCTCTCTTTTCTACTCGTTCCCTCCATCTCTTTCCATCTCTTGATGATCGATATACCGGAGCAAAGCAACAAAATTCTTAACATTCAATCTTCAACGAAGTCCAATAAAGTCGTTCAAGGATTGAAATTTCACGCTAGTCCAGCCTCCTACAGGCTATCGATAAATCCTACATTCGTGCGTTTCGAACGTGTGATAAAAAAAAAAAGAAGATAAATCGAATAGTAGAAGAGAGAGGGAAAGAGAGAGAGAGAGAGAAAGAAGTCACCTGGCAATTCCTGCGTCCGAAATGGCTCGCGCCTGTTCGTCGTCGTTCGATCAACAATCGAGCAAACGGGGAGCGCTAATAAAACGCGTTGAACGAAGCCAATCCGATTACGGGGGCGAATGTTCGCGTATCGAGGCATTTCGTCGCCATTTGACTCATTTTAATCCCGTTACAGGCCGCGTGATTTACGGCCACCCCATGCAAATCGCCCCATTCTCACGTGGACTCTGTAATAAAAAAACTCGTGCAAACTCACCGCGCCGATCTCTCGCCCTCGTAACCCTGCAGGCTTCTGTGCTCGTCCAAATGGCCGAAGAGGTTTTCCAACTCGGTGAGCTGCTCGTTCCTCGCGGCTGTAACCTCCCTCAGCACCTGGAGAAAGGGAGGTATCATTGTGAGGATATATAGTAGTTCATGGTTAACCGGTTAATTTGTTTCGAGGATCGATGGGTGACAGGGGTTATTGGGTGTTGAATGTTCACGTTCTCGTGATCATTTTTTTTGAAACGGATGTCGTTGAGAGAATGTTGGAGGAACGATGGAATAATCGGTTATAACGGTTGCGCAATGTTATTGGATATTTGAGATGATATTTTTTTTAAATATTGATTGTTGGTAATCAAAGTGTTTTTTGAAAGAAGAATAATTTCTAATATTTTCGAGATTCTGTGAATTTTTATATTTGTTTTCAATTTTAATTCTCGTTTTAACTTGACGAGTTTCGACGAGTAAACGGTGACGAGTCGCCAAGAATTGAAAAGAGTTGTATTTGGCCTGGAGAAATTTGATTTTTCGCAATGTATTATAATAATAATAATAATAATAGTAATAATTATTTACAATAAAAATTACATACATTAGAGATTTTGGCATGAATACCAAAGATCCAAGCTGGTTACCATTATTACTATCGTTCTTATTCAAACACGCGGATATTCAAATTGCAATTCATCTACATTTTCCTTCGCCATTTCAAGTATCATCACGTTTCATTTCCATCACTGTCTCCTGCCATGCGATTTCTTCACAAATTGTACGTAAAACGCAGAAAATAACGGATAGCTTCCTATAAGAGTTCGCGTAAAGACAGCATAAATTTGCAGCGCGTCGCGACGATGGCACACGTTATACACATATGCCATGCATAAAAATGGTATCCATGATACGCCGACGTGATTTACATAAATATAGTACTTCTGTCTTCCATTACGTCACTACGACGACATAAGGAATCTCTTTCTCTTTTTCTTTTTTCTTTCTCTCTCTCTCTCTCTCTCTCTCTCTCTCTCTCTCTCTCTCTGCCTCTCCAACTGTCTCTCCGGAAGCCACAAGGGCGTAGAGAGAGCAAAAAGAATCGCGGGAAACTGTATCGTCAACGATAGAAATAAATTCAAGGATTCACGCGTAACACGTAGATGGAGCGTGTCCTTCGATATCCATATTTTTCTCCATTTTTTATTTTTTCCCAATCATTCTTTTCCATCTTGAACTCTGTTCGAAATCATTTAACTTTTGTTTGAAATATTTTTTTTTTGAAGTATTTTTCAAAAATAAGCGAGATTATTCCAGATGTTTTATATACACATATAAGAAATCCGTCGATATTTTTGATATCGATAGATCGGCAAATTTTATCTTCAGTTTCAATCGCGATACGTTTCTGCGTGTATAATATTATTTTTTTTCAACTGTGGATTAGAAAGTCGAGAGAGTGTGTTTATGGATAAAAACCGTCTTGCACCAATTAGATGTGGTATCATACAAAAATTTAAAAATGAGAATTATATGAGGATAAATATGGGAATGATAAGTATGGAATTTTTAGAACAGAGCATAGACAGATACCATAGGTATCAGCTTGTGAAATCGATGGTACGAGAAGTCGTCACGGATGACAATATCTAATAAATTATACCCGTACATTCTCTGCCTTCCATTCTATCGTCTAATCTGCATAAAATGGACGCAACAATCCGACACGTATCTATAAATACTTTATCAACAGCGTGTGAAAAAAAAAAACACGCTATATTAAACAGAAAACGAATTCATAAGTAAACCAACTATCGCTTTTCCGAATAATTTCAATCAGAAACTGCGAATCCTTTTAATCATCCATCCCTTCCCTTGCGAAACGAGATCGTACTTCAAGAGGATTACAATTCGAAAAACACCAAGCAAACCAAACTACTGCCAAGAATATATTTTACAACGACACCTCTGAAAATTTCCTTTCATCATCTCGAATGAGCCCCTCTCAAATAGGCCCCTCGATCCACAGATTCCACAGATTCGAGAAAAATCGGGCTCATTTTCGTGGGAAGGGAAGAAACTGAACGAGAGGAGGGGAATAATAAAAGAGGGGAGGGAACGCCGTGGACAGTTCTCGGCGAAGGGGGGCGAAGAGAAGAGGGGAGGCAGGAAAAAAATATCGAAGGCAGCGTCCCTCGAAAATAAAATCGGTTTTCCGATAACTGGTTATTTGCTCGCACAAGTGGCTCGCTGACTGGGCGAGCACATCGGAAGCGGTTTTCGCGTGTAATATTATCGAGTTATCGGCGGCGGAGGAGGGCATTGATCGGCAGCCGGAGGGTGGAGTGGGTGGATGCGGAGGTATAGGGGTGGGTGGGTGGAGAGGGCTGGGCGAGCGTGCATTGCACGAGCACAATATATCCGCGTGATTACAATATGTCGGGGCTCGAGAGACCAATATCAACCTGAAGTCGGCTCAGCCAATGCTAATAATCCCTATTGTTGCTGCCTCCACTCGACTGCCTCTCGCGATCGGATACATCTTGTTTCGAAATTTCGAATTGCCTCGTCCACCCACCGATCGTGCGCGTCCTCCACTTGTTGTGCCGTGGAATTTTTTTCTTCCTTTTCTTTTTTTTTTTTTTTTTTTTTTTTTTTGTTTTATTTCGTTTCGCAATAACGAGGAACGAGGAGGATCGATATCGATCGAATCGTTCCTTTTTTTGGAGTTGGAGGAATTTTTGGAAAATTGATCGATGCTTTCTTTGGGGTGGATTCGATTAAAGGGAGTGAAATTTCTTAAAATGTCACATTTGTGTGAGAAAGTTTTTGTGAGAAAGTTTTATCGAGAAATTAGAAATGTTACAATGCTTTTGAATTACGACGAATTCTTCAATAGAATTTTCAATTTTATAAAATTAAACATATTTTTAGAATTATCATCCAATTGTTGTTACTTCAAATATTAATTGTCTTATACAAATTCAATGTTTGAATGTATTTGAAAAAAGAATTTGAAAAGTTAGAGATAGAAATATTTAATTAAAATAAACAATTTCATTCTGAAAATGAAGACTCAAAAGTTTCAGATTCTAGAATAAACACAAAAATAATTAAATAATTAATTAATTAATTTAAAAATTATTTATAACTTAAACAAACCTCAATCGACATTTTTATATACTTTCATTCATTTATTTTAATCCTGTATAATCTAAAAGCGTTTCACGAATGAATATCAACGCTCTCTACAGTATATTGCATATCCTATTACAGCTTTCCAAGTGTCGAACAGCTACTCAATCTCCGATGATGCGTCGGATTAAAATTAATTCGAGAGATCGAGCAACAAATTGCTACAATTTCCTCACGTATCGTGTCAGTGGATCGGTTTATTGAGATTGGATTAATTGAGCAATCTGTTCGTCGTACGGGAAAACAAGTTAAAAGACGGCCCCATAATAGCTGTTAGATAAACGGCGAAAGAAATGAGACTTGTCCTCGACTTAGGATTGGCGTCGGCAGGCCAGGCCACCTTTCACACGTCCCACACGAAAGACAACGAAGCTCGATCTCTTTCAAAACAATTACGCATTCTTCAACGCCAGTTCTCCCACGTCGGCATTACGGTCTTGATGCAATGCCTCCTCTCCTGGCTTGCCTACACTATTTTCATAAAAGATGCTTGACGTTTAGTGCTCATCATTGTTGATCGCTTATTTGGAAGAAAAATAACAATTGTGTGAAAACTGTGTTTCAATTTATTGAATCTTTTAAGAAACGGGTCTCATCTTTTTGTTTTTTTATTCTTATTAGGTCGTTAAGCATGAAATGATTGACTTGACAAATGTGTAAAACTATAATGAGAATGTTAGTTGATTAAATATAATATTATATATAAAAGTTTCCATTATCTCTTTTTATTTTCTTTTGATGTTCTTGTTAGCAAAAATAAATTCGATTCAAGATCTTTAAAAGACAGTAGAGTTTTCTAATTTTATTTAAAATATAAGGGATATATAAAAATAAAAATAATATTAAACAGGACACTTTAAGAATCTATACGATTCAATTTTAATTCAAATTGTTTGCACTGAACTTTACCAAAAAGTAAATTTCTTAACATCATTTATTTTAAAATATATCTAAACGATTTTTTTCAATAATTTCGTGATTTTCGTTTCAGATATTAAAAAAAAGACAAAGGTCGTCCGTGATCCAACTATCCCAAAACCGTAAGTAGAGACACGAGTGCAATAATAATTCCTCGATAAATTCAAAGATCAATAACAATCTCAAAAATCATCAAGAATATTTATGCGTGATCATTCGAATATATCTATAATCAAATTCAAACCGAAGAACACGCGTTCAAAAAAACGAGAATACAATAATCGAATACAAAACTACCCATCAACCCTCATATTTCTCCATTTAATTACCCCCTTCGATGATCATTACTCTCCATAACAACCGGACGCAAATATCGAAAACGATCGTTCATGAATCGTTCATCGTCTCGAATAATCAAAATCGAGCCTCGAATTTAATTCATCGCCGCACAATAATACAAGACAACAAAATATCCACGATTCGATGCGTAGTAGTATACGCATCTCTGTAATCTCAATTTAAATCGAACCTGTTAATAATCCAACCAGTCGTGCATCGTGGTTTTTAAACAACACAATTGGTCCATAATCGCGCCTTCATATTTAATTCCATCGACGTTCCATGAGCCCTCTGTCGCGATTACACAGAGGAGGGGAGGGTGAATACTTCCGGTAACGATCGATCGAAAAAGCTTCATCGAGGGTTTAATAACGATTAATTGGATACAGATCGGATTTCTCGAGGCGAAATTTTTAAACTTTTTAAACGCTTAGGATCGAGGATGGTTTCATTGGTCGGTTGAAATATTGGCGGGACGATTTAAATTCGATCCATCACCGATGGATTGTGGTTACACGGTGTGGTTATATATTACATATGCGGTGTATCTATGACAACAGAAGGTGATTCGATGTTTATCACACGGTGAAACGTACGGCCTGATAAGAGCGGATCACGGCCTCGTTAATCAGCTCGAGAGCTGATTGGCTGCGAGAGGCGTGTTCAAT